AAGCCAAAATACACAAACACCTATTGAGCTGACCTGACAGCACTGTTTGCTTTCCAACTTCAAAAAAGATCCTGTAACAATTTCCTCAGCAATGATGTAAGAAGTGGAAAATTTCTGCCAGTCAAGAGTCAAATCCTTCCAAAAGTCTTGATGGAAACGTTTTATTGGGATCGTTCTTGGCACAGTTGTGTCAGCATTTTTGACACACACACACACACACGGTCTGAAAATGACCCTGCATAGGTTACAACAGAGTCAGAGGGCGCTCACACCTCTTGACCTCCGGAACGCCACACTCACTCTTCTGTGCGATGGAATGAGACCCCTAAACGATGCCGATGGGGGTGGTTCAGCTAAAATTGATGGTTATGGCTTTTAAAGGAGCAACATGATGCAATCTTTGTAAAAGCAAACACAAGACCTTCCATAGATGTAAGGAATATCTGTATTTTGTCGCAGTAACGTGAGAAATCAAATGTTATGACATGAAATTAAAAAGTACCAATGGTCTCTGACTTGTCCAGAGTTCGTTGTGTAACAAAACATAACGAAACTGGAAGTTTCCAAACAATACCAGCTTGGCTCTTGTGTAAGACAATCAATGTTATGTTCTTTGTCAAATAAAAGTCATATTTCAGATAGGATGTGATTCGATTCAGGTTCTGATAACCAAACATTACAGGAAAGATGTCTAAAACTCAAAGTATTTAAACAAGGGTTATAGTTTCTAATAGAGGCGTTACATTTATTTTAAAGTGATTCTGACGACCAAATACGTCCCATTTTGCTCGTTACTTAAGACTAAATATTTTAATTTAGCATTTTTTCCAAACGTCAGCATAGGTAGAGAAAATATCAGAGCGAGCAAATTTAGATTTAAATGCATATTTCTCGTAGGTTTAACATGTCAAATGTGGTTTTGGCAGCCGCAAGGGCGCTCACTTCAGTGTTTCCTGAACAAGACGCTGCAGCGTCGTTTGCTTTTATTTACGGCTGGTGCGGCAGAGAGCCCATGAAGATGTCAAAGTTATCTTAAATGAAAAGCAATGGTGACACTAAACCTCGGTGCATCCAGTGCCACCTCATAACTCACTTTTATGGGCCACATTGTTACCTTTTCCCATGAGAATCCTAAACGTGGTCCTCGAGCTGAGAAACGGCGAGACTTGACTCCACAAAATAGAGATGTTCAGACAGGGAGTAGAAGAAGACTGGGACTCATTTCAAGCATGCTTAATATTTTCTGGAAGAGTCAGCACTTTTTGTGCTTTTGCTTTGCTTTATTTATTTGGCGACGTGCGGATGATCAATTCTCAGAGGAAAGATGATTTTACAGCCCAGAAAGCTCCAAAAAGTAAAAAAAAAAAAAAAAACCACATTCACTTAAAGTAAAACTGACATTTCTGTGTGCGTTCCTACAGTAAAGCATGTTTTTAGTTTTGGTTAAAATTTGAGAATGTCTAAACAAACGCACATCCACCGATGACTAAAAGTTAAACTTAAAGCTGAGCTTTCTCTGTGAATACTGGTTTGCAAGATTCATTTACATTAGTGTGTGTTGATTATCACCTGCCACCATGAAAGGTGGACAAATATGTCATTTCCTCTGTGTGTAGGTGTGTTTGCCTAGTTTAGTTTGTCTGTCTGTTCCCAAAATATCTCATCTAGAGGATGGATTTTATTGAAACTCTCAACAAAGATTTATTAATGTCCATCCACAACGGATTAACTTTTAGAGCCCAATTCAAGATGGCCACCACGGCTCAACGCAGTAATGAACTCAGTCAGTTTGACAGATATTTTACCGTATTTTTCATTTAAAATCCTTTAATTTTCTCAAAAATCAACAGTGCACCTTATGTACTAATTCTGGTTGTGCTTACTGACCTCGAACTGATTTTATGTGGTACACGGCGCTCAAAAATCTGTCAAAACATGTTAATAAGACTTTGGTAAGCTACGAAGCCGCACCACTTGATGGATTATCGGAGCATTATGGCTACCGTAGTCAGCAGTCTTGCAAAGCTGTAGTCAGGAGTATTATGAATGAGTGGAGTAAAGTTTGACTTATCTGACTGTTTTGTTTCGCTTAATGCACATTATAATCTAGTGTGTCTTATAGTCCCAAAAATACGGTAATTTTAGTGTGGTAGTAGCTGAGCCATCTCATCACATTCTGTAAGGAGAACCAAGACAGTTTGGTTGAGTATGATCCGAGCCAGGATCAAGAGTTAATCACATCCTGACATGCCCTCTGGATCTCCACGTGGTCTGGACCTGGAGACTGGAGCAGTTGACTGTGAAGGCCTTATGAGGTGAGATGGATGGACTGAGCAAATGAGCACAAAAAGACATGCTGGTGAGTTCCAGTGAGCACAAATTCACAATCTAAACTTAAAGTGATGTGCTCGACTTAGCTTTTTAAAGCTAATTAGGTGGGCTTGAGTGTGGAGGAGAGCCTCAACCCTGGAGCCAAAGTAAAAACGTCTGTTTCACCTATGACACTATTTAATGATGCTCATTTGCAATCTGACTCCTAGAATGTTAGCCAGCTACTGAACCATGATAAGCATTTGACCTCCTTTTTCCCCCTTTTAGCTTTACTAAAGAAATAGCACTAGCTATACTGCATTATTTGTCCTATTTAGAAAATATTTTACAACTTAATCGTGCACAAAAGGAACCACTCGTTTCTATGAAACACAAAAGTTGGCATCAAACCAGTGTTTTGTTTCCAAGTCCTGTGCACAGCAGCTGTTTTTGTTCTATCAGCTCTAAAATCATTGTAATGTACACGAACAAAGTTATGACCAGAAATGCAGCAACAAATAAAAATTGTGGTTAAAGTATAGACAAACACAGCAGAAAACTTCCTGAGCAGCAGAGGTCCAGTGAAAAGAACCAAACCTGGGATGTGAAAAACCACATCCATGTTCAAAGACAAGCGAGAAGATTTAAGTTACTGTTTGCTTTACTTTGAAGGGTGCAATTTGTTAAGAGTGCATGCAGAAAAGCATGAGGTGCGTACGCATCCCTCTTCTTGCAAGCTTGGGCACATTTGCAAACACATTAATGTGCATTAAACGTATCACATCATAGACTAATCCTCCCAGTTTCTCATCAAAAGTTCACCCGTCATCATGCTCAACATCTGCACTTGCTGTTAGGTGGATAACTTTTGATGAATGTTTTACTAAACATGCTGTCAGGACAAAATATGGCCAGAGAAATCCAGACGCTATATCATCATATTAAGGTTTCTGCTTTTCTCTTCTGAATTCCTCTGAACCGTATATTTTAAAATTAGAGAGGAAAGAGCTGATGAAATTGATGGATTGTCCCTCTAATGCAACCATCTGATGTCATTATCATTGGTGACATATTGCAGCCTAATGGTGAAGCTCTGTACGTGTGTGTAAAAGTGCGTGTGCACGTGTGTGTCAAAGAGCACTGCAGGCGAGGGGAGGGAGGACGAGATGCTAATTGGAATTCCTTCAGCCATGTCTGGTAAAGGTTTGGTGTCTGAGTGGCACACACACACACACATTGGCCCTGATAAAAATGGGTTTTGCTACATGGAGCCCATGTGCAAACTGGCCTCTCTGTGCTCTGGAGTGTGTGTCCAGCAGAAGAGAATTGAACAGCACCAAATTCCCACCAACAGATGCATACAAACTTACATTTGTATAAAGATGTGTATGTGATCAAGACCTATTATAAGGATAATGTTACATTACACACTTGACATGTCCCCTTTGATTCAGACAGTAGACAAAACGCCCGTTGTACAGCGTAAAAAAAAAATCAACTCGCATTTTGGACGCTTCCCATCTGATTTGGCGCTCTTGCGGGGAAACTGTGGCAGGTAAATGTGGGAGTAATGTTCTGTTCTCCCTCAGCAATGACTGTCAACGTGCCCCAAGGCGGTGTAGTTACTCTGTGATGCTCAAAGACCAGAGGATTGCGGCCATCCTGGAGAACTTCCAGATGTGTTTTATATGGAAGATAAAAGTTGTGGACGGCAGAATGATAACAGCCGATCTTCTGCTCTCAGTCAGCCAAAACTGCTTGTGACGAGCTTTGCAAGTATTCAGATTTGCCGGTGTGCAGATTTGATGTTTGGTTTGAACAACAATTGTATGTTTGCTCATGTTCTCAGTATAAGCCCCAAAACATACCTGCAGCTGAGATACTCGAGATTAGCTTAGTCAGTGTGCGTCGCTGTGTGAATGTGAGACTAAGCAGCACTGACATGTGAGCTCGGTGACCCCTCTCATATAAATAAGGGTTAAAACCATATTCCACAACCCAGATAATGCACAAACAAGCAGGGGTTGCATATTCACTAAGTGAGTACAACCTCAAACTTGCCATGTGCCCACCATGACTACAGCTGCCACACAATAGCAGCAAGGACTCCGTGGACTTGTCATTTCCCCCCATGGGGTTTAGCTGTTTTAAATATTCCCTCAAAGACGAAGAACGTTCTCTGGGCAATTTCTAATTGGTTCCAGCGAATCATCTCTCTCTCCCTCTCTCTTTGTTTTTTGTCTGTTTGGTTCAGTTTTTTTTTTTCTTCGTCTCCTGTTCTTCTTCTGTCAAGCTTTCTCCTTCCAAACTCTTTGTAGTCAGACAAAAAATGCTTTGCCTCCACAGATGGTGAAAAGGCTGGAAGCACGCAGCTCTGTTATTTGTTCTTTTGCCCAGTCACCTGTCTTAATGTGCACGGTTTCCCAAGAAAGAAACAAAGAAACTTCACTCTCCAGAGATAAACTCAGGAGATAAAGTGGAGGAAGAATGAGTGTCTTTTGCCACAGTGGTCTCATTGATAATGGGGCCTTTGTGTTTGGCTGCTTGGTTCTGCCAAAAGATCTACAAAGAAACAGAGCGGCTATGTGCACCTATAAATATAACAGGCTCTTTAATTTCCAGTTGAACCACAAATGACACAGTAAATAAAAAGTTAAATGAATAAAACAGATAGATATGAGCTGACTTACTGTATGGATCATCCCTGTTCTTGGTGCCATTAACGTTTCCGTCTTCACCGATGCGAAGGAAGAATTTCTGATAGGAGAACAGCTTCCTCCTGCGCACGTCTCCCTGTAGATGTTTGTAGCTGCTTCGCACATGACGCCCAACGACCATTGCGGACGACGACGACGTCTCGTTGGTTGCTCGTGGCAACCTCGCCGAGGATGATGAGGATGCTGAGATGAAAAGGTGAGAAGTTCCTCCTGGCGCATGGTTCTTCTCAGAGTCTTTGGACGGCGCAGCAGCGAGCGAGGAGGGTCCCAGCAGGAGGAGCAGGAGGAGGAAAGTGATGGAGAGGAAGAGCGAAGGAGGTCTGCTGCAGGGGAAGGAGGAGAACCAGGCGACCGGTGCACCTTGTGTCACTGTCCATCTACACATGGTAGTGGAGCTGGGAGAGCTGTGGAGGTGCTCAGGGGCTGGGGCATGCTGAGCTGGGTGCAGGGAAGAGGAAAGAGAGTGGGAGAAACTCCCCCTGACCCACAGACTAAACCTCCTCTGTCTGGGAACCCACAATCTCACTGGGACTGGAGGTGTTGAAACCTCTGGAACAACTGGAGTGAAGATGGTTTGACAGCAGTGGGTCAGAGCAGGACGTTTAGCAGCAGATCTACAGTTTTAATGAATCGAGGTGGAAAAGTCTGACTTTCCTGTTGTCTCTTGTAAATGTTATTCCTCAGAAAAACCACAGCAATATCTTAACATCCGAAACTCAGATCACCTCGTGAGGATCTTTCAAAACATACAATATAACTTCATTCATACATGCTACAAAAGTCTATATCCAAAACAGACATAAAGAAGTTAAGAGGCTGAATAAAGTGCTTAATATAAAATGAATAAAGTTAAAAAAAAAAAATTAACAGAACAGTGATGCTTCTTATAAAATGTCCAAAGAAATCCAAGCAATGCAAGTCACACAACAAAAAAAAAAGGTCAGAATCCAGATTTTCTTTTTTTCCTCTTTTGTTTCTCTTGAATTGTGTGAGCCAGTTTGAAGTTACTTGAGAGTGTAACTGAGCCCCCCCACGTCTCGTCTTTCTCCCCACTTTTGTTGTGCGTCTGTCAGTGAGCTGATCTCCCCGTCTGTCCTCTGTCCTTGCCTCTCAGAGTCTGAGTGCTGGAGCGGTGAGTTGCCTCTCCTCTTTCCTCCCGTGTGTGGCTCCCTCTCCTTTTTTTGGCCCCCACCCTTCGTTTTTTTCCCTCTGCCTCTTTGCTGTCTCTATCACTGGTCCTCTGCCTGGTTATCAGGAGTTTCAGCGAGGTGACTGACTCTTGTCTTTTCCTTTCACCTTATTTATCTGCTGCAGCAGCTCCCCAGATGTCTCCGTCTAATTGGATGTCTATTAAAACCACTTGGCTTTGAAGAGCTCAGTGCGTTTATGTGAGCGTGCACGTGTAAATGTGTGTGCCCATGTGTGTGTGTGTGAGGGTGGGGGATAGGGGTCTGTCTCTGTCCCACCCCACTTTTTGCTTTCCCTCCCTCTCCCCCTTTTTCTCTGTCTCCACCCCTTCCCAGACTAAACCCCACAACAGAAAAGGTCAGAAAAAAAAACTTCCTTCAACTCCTCTTTTATTTATTGCAGAGCCATTAGCTTCATCCTACTGCTGTTGATTAGTGAAGACTTTTTGTAAAAGTACCAAACTTTGCTGCAGGAAAATGGCAAAGTGGTTACCCATTTGTTGTTTTAGGACGGAGTACAGAAGGTTTTCAACTCGTGTCTCAGCTGGAGTTTAAGTTCATGTTTGAAAATGCACAGTTTTCGATTGTTTTAGTCTGAGTGTCGGCAGATACTTTGGGCTAGTTTTTTTTTCTTGATTGTGTTCGAACCTGAAGAGTTCAGGGAGTTTTGGTCAAAGTTGTACCTTACGTGTGATGCAGCGTTTCAGCTTTCATGAATCTAGGTCTCCTGTCTGGTATTCAGCATTGTTTAATTTCCTCTTCACATAGCCAGACAACAACCATATCTCCACCTTTTCTCTTCACAACACAGCATGCTGCAAAAACATCTGACTCCTCATGTTCATATTTCCTTCAGTTCACGGCATTGACCCTGTAAAAAAAAAAAAAAAAAAAAGACATGTACCCTTACTGTTCAGTCAACAAGTGGTTCCCTGCAGGGGTAACTCTAACTAAGAATAGACAGATGTTGGGGGCTGCCAACAATCTGTCATTCACGTCAACGCCGCAGCCTTCTGTTTCCCACTGAAGGCCCAACTTTGCAGATGGCAAAGATTGATCTGACAGGTTGTTTTGGTGAACCACTGTGCAAAACGTCATTATGAAATGATGATAAATCGTTGCATGAACTGGCTTTTATGTAATAAATAAAAATTCTGCTGATAAACAGCATGCGGTTTTCTCTGGTTTTTTTCTCCTCATCTCTCATATTTGTAGGATTAAAAAACAGAACTGAAGTTTATGACTTTTATTGCCCCCATGCAACTGACTTGTTACATTTAATGTGAGACGTGTTTATCACAGTTTTCAGACTCAAAATGAAGTCTTCAGGGTGTTGCCCGAGAATCAGTCCAAACCCAAAGATACTTCATTGACTATTTTGCTTAGATTAGTGACCTAAACCATTTGTCAGTTATCAAAGTAGTTTATTTGATGTCATTGCACAGTATGTTTATATACTTAGGTAATAGATGGCCAAGTACAAGTCCACTGTTGGCACCATTCAGCACCGTGGACAGCACTTTTCATTGCATTCCTTCAACATACTAATGCAGTAATTGAACATTTTCGCCTTTGACATCATTCATAATGGCTTCTCAAGCTGTTGTTTGACAGTTTTTAGATTGAGTATAGCATGAGGAGAATCTCTAAGGAAGGTATGAGCATTAAAAGAAAAAAATAACTCCTTTTTGAGGAAGAAACTATGGTGGCCTTGAGGTGTAAATGAACAATATTTGAAAAAAAACTAAATTACATTTCAAAAAATGCAACAAAAACACAACAACATTTAAAAAAACAGAATTACATTTGAGAAAACAGAATTACATTAAGCCAATGCGGAAGTGACCAAAGCAGAAGTGGCCGAAGCGGAAGTGGCCAGAATCACATTTGAAATAACATAATTACATTAAGCAAAACCGGAAGTGGTGGGTTTTTTTCTTTTTCTTTTTTCAAATGTAATTCTGTTTTTTTCCAAATGTGATTCTGATCACTTCCGCTTGGGCCACTTCCATTTGGTCACTTCCGCTTTGGCTTAATGTAATTCTGTTTTTTCCAAATGTGATTCTGGTCTACAGGGGGATCACGCTCTTAAGCCTCCCTGGTAAGGTCTATTCGGGGGTTCTGGAGATGAGGGTCCATCGGATAGTCGAACCTCGGATTCAGGAGGAGCAGTGCGGTTTTCGGCCTGGACGTGGAACACTGGACCAGCTCTACACTCTCAGCAGGGTCCTGGAGGGTGCGTGGGAGTTTGCCAAACCGGTCTACATGTGCTGTGTGGACTTGGAGAAGGCGTTCTACCGCGTTCCTTGGGGAACCCTGTGGGGGGTACTCTGGGAGTATGGGGTACCAGGCTCTTTGATACGGGCTGTTAGGTCCCTGTATGACCGGTGTCAGAGCCTGGTCCGCATTGCTGGCAGTAAGTCGGGCTTGTTCCCAGTGAGAGTTGGACTCCATTCTGTTCATAACTTTTATGGACAGAATTTCTAGGCGTAGTCAAGGTGTTGAGGGGATCCGTTTTGGTGGCCTTTGTATTGTATCTCTGCTTTTTGCAGATGATGTGATCCTATTGGCTTCATCAGATTGTGATCTACAGCTTTTGCCGGAGCGGTTCCCAGCCGAGTGCGACATGGCCGGGATGAAGATCAGTGCCTCCAAATCCGAGGCCATGGTCTTGAGCCGGAAAAGGGTAGAGTGCCCTCTCCGGGTTAGGGAGGAGGTCCTACCCCAAGTGGAGGAGTTCAAGTATCTTGGGGTCTTGTTCACGAATGAGGGAAAAATGGAGCGTGAGATAGGCGGATAGGTGCAGCGTCTGCAGTGAAGCGGGCGCTGTATTGGTCTGTCGTGGTGAAGAGAGAGCTGAGTCAAAAGGCGAAGCTCTCAATTTACCAGTCGATCTACGTTCCTACCCTCATCTATGGTCATGAGCTTTGGGTTGTGACCGAAAGAACGAGATCTTGGATACAAGCGGCCGAAATGAGTTTTCTCTGCAGGGTGTCTGGGCTCTCCCTTAGAGATGGGGTGAGAAGCTCGATTATCCAGGAGGGACTCAGAGTAGAGCCGCTGCTTCTCCACATCGAGAGGAGACAGTTGAGGTGGCTCGGGCATCTGGTTAGGATGCCTCCTGGACGCCTCCCTGGTGAGGTGTTCCGGACACGTCACACCGGGAGGAGACCCAGAGGAAGACCCAGGACACGTTGGAGGTACTATGTTTCTCGGCTGGCCTGGGAATGCCTCAGGATTCCCACAGAGGAGCTGGCCTAAGTGGCTGGGGAGAGGGAAGTCTGGGCCTCCCTACTTAAGCTGCTACCCCCGCGACCCGACCCCGGATAAGCGGAAGAAAATGGATGGATGGTGATTCTGGCCACTTCCGCCTCGGCCACTTCCGTTTTGGCCACTTCTGTTTTGGCCAATTACATTTTGACCACTTCCACTTTGGCTTAATGTAATTCCAGTTTTCTCAATTGTAATTCTGTATTTTCAAATGTAATTCTGTTTTTTTCATATGTTGTTCCTTTACATCTCAGGGCCACCATAAGAAACACTTGAAAAGTGTTATTAAAGTAGAAGAAACTCTGTGGGGTTGCATTTAGCTGTGATTTATTTCACCAAGTAACTGAACTTTGTTATAAAATAATGATCAGCTTGTTGTTGAAAATAAAGCTATTTAAAAAAATGTATTGACTATTTTTCCAAAACTAAGTGAGTGTGAATGGTTGTTTGTCCCATTTGTATTGATGTGTCCCTGTGATGAACTTGTGGCCTGTCCATGTTGTACCCCATCTCTCACACAGTGATGGCTGGACATGGGCACCGGTGACCCCCCTGACCCGAAAAGGAAGAAGTGGGTAAAGATGATGGATGGATGGATGGATGGATGGATGGATGGATGGATGGATGGATGGATGGATGGATGGATGAATGGATGGATAAATCAAAAGAAACAGGCAGATTTAGTAAAACTGAGAATGTTGAACAACTCTGCCATTAAAGTTTTGTTTGTTAAGTTTTTGTTTATGTAGAAATTTTGTAGTTGTTTGGAAACTCAAGCTGCAGCAGCAGCTAGCTGTAGCACTGTCTGGGGGCACTTCTGATGGTAATATTTTGATACATCTGACGGAAAAGTCATAATGTAAATTTGGTGGTAATGCAATAGTTAACAAAATAGGATTAACTTGAATTGCTGTATTTTTTTTTTTATAATGGAGTTGTT